TTTTTTTTTTTTTTGAGACGGAGTTTCACTCTTGTTACCCAGGCTGGAGTGCAATGGCGCGATCTTGGCTCACCACAACCTCCGCCTCCTGGGTTCAGGCAATTCTCCCGCCTCAGCCTCCTGAGTAGCTGGGATTACAGGCACGTGCCACCATGCCCAGCTGATTTTTTGTATTTTTAGTAGAGACGGGGTTTCACCATGTTGACCAATATGGTCTCAATCTCTTGACCTCGTGATCCACCTGCCTCGGCCTCGAAAGTGCTGGGATTACAGGCGTGAGCCACCGCACATTCCCTTCTTATGCAACTTCCTGGGCCCTAAGAGAGGACCCTTCAATAAAAACTGGAATAAATAAAAAGGTTGTTTCCTGAAATCTCTGTAAGATTCTGAAAACACATAGGAAGTCAGTGTAAAGAAACAGACCATAAGGTTGACAGGGGAGGATGTAGAGGTAGGGCGGAGTAAAGTACTTTCCCCACATGAGGGTACTCTTGGGGTGAGGCAAGTCTTGGACACAAGAGCTACAGCATGACGCCAGACCATCTGCTCTCCCAGAAAGGAAAAGGACATGGGCATCTTTAGATGTTCTCAGCAGCCCTTCTGTGTGGCAGGGACAGATCTCACACAGGGAGCTGGAGCAGAAAAGGAGCAAAAAGGCAGCTTCATTGTGTAGGCTAAAGGAGCTAATTTGCAAGTACTTCTACATCCTGTGAACTTCAAAAGTGCTCAGAGAAGAGTGTGAGCTGATCTGGAGTTCTCATAACATGGCTGGGATGGATCTACTTTTACTTCACCTTGCTGTAACCAGAGAAATCGGCCATTAACCATCACTCCTTTATTAGTTAATTGATCTCACTGACTCTCTATTCTGAGAATTTAAAACAGTGACTAACACTTCATCCCAAACTTGTTTTTTGAGGTTTCAATATGTTGCCAGGGCTCATCTGGAACTCCTGGGCTCAAGCAATCCTCCTGCCTCAGCCTCCTGAGTAGCTGAGATTACAAGCGCACATCACCACACCCCACACTCAAACTGTGTTTGTGATCCCTTGTTTCTAGGATGCACCATCTGATCTCACTTTGGAGACCTTGCCCATGTGAAGTCTCCTGGCTTCTCTTAAAGGCTTACAGACATAACTGGGTTTGGTAGTAGTTACAAAATAAGGCCATCATGATTCCCAGGCAGAGCGGAGAGCTTCCCAGGTTCCCAGCAAAGCGCTACTTTTATGGAATCCTACTGATATGCCTTCATTCTTGAGGTATTGGTCCTCACCCAATGCAAAAATCCTTAGGAGGGTAAATTCTTTCAACAGCTGTCTGTAATTTACACATCTTTAGGCATGTGCTTTAGAGCTCATCCTTAAGAACAGGTTTTGGTAACTGAAAGGCACTGAGGATTTGAGGAGAAAGAAAAGTGGGCAGCAGGCGGAACCTAGGGAGGGATGAACTTCACTTATTTTTCAGATTTGTTGGGGCACCATCCTGCCTGAGCTTCACTTATTTCCTTGTCTTCTTTCTCTCTCTCTGCAGCCCCAAGCAAATGTTGAGCTAAAAAGAAAAAGGTTAGCAGTGAGAAGAAGACTAAGCAAATGGCCTTAAACTGCTTTCCCTCAGTCCCTGGTGCCTCAAGGGTACTAGAGTCTTCTGGGAAAGAGCAAGCATGTCTCTGACCAGTACTGTAAACACTAAAGTTTGTTTTGCCAAATGCCAAAGTCCGAAGTGTTTCGGGAACAAAGAAAAGCAATGGGAAGTGGGGCCCAGAGTGGGTCTCCTCCCTGCATCTGACAGAGTACTCAAATGCTCAGTTTCCTTCTGTGAGCAAACATTGCATCTGTGAGTGGTAACTATTTTAAATTAATCACACATCTCCTTTTCAACAGACTTTGAAGAGCTGAGCTCTGAAAAGTCGTCAACCACTCATTTGTTAGGGAGGAGAGCTGACAGGCTCATTGCAACACCCAACTGCCTCAGCAGTCCTGGATGGATACGGCAGCCAACTCCTACAGCCTAAGATAACTTGGTCAATGAAAACACCCACTTTTGAGTGATTTACCAGAAAAGGACTGCTGCATTATACAATCCAATGCGCCTGCAATATGCAATCCAATGTGCCCATGGCTTGAAGCACCAATTCAAGCACCAACTCACACAGAGTAGCCTCTGATTTTGGAGTTCTGCAGTAGTTCTGGGGTGGGGAAACCAGCAGCCTATGAATATAGTCAGTTCCCTTCTGTGCCTCTGGGCCTTCACTGGACAACTTTTGGAGGATTCACAATCTGCCCACAATGCAAAAAGACAGTTTTTGTTTTTCTTTTAAACTTGGCGCAATGAAGTTTTATTGAAACAAAAAGTAGGGTTTGGGGGAAAAATTACTATTTCATTAGAATGCAGCTATGCACACAGTCATTTGTGTTTTAAAATACAACAAGGAATTATATTCTATGATTAAGGAATATTGCATCTTTGTCAATAATTTTAATCCATATAAAGGAATTGCCAATTGCAAAAAAAAAAAAAAATCTATTTTAAAAATGTTCAGTCCAGGCAGGGTGGCTCATACCTGTAATCCCAGCACTTTGGGAGGCAAAGGAGGACAGAACACAAAGTCGAGAGTTCGAGACCAGCCTGGCCAAAATGGTGAAACCCCATCTGTACTAAATATACAAAAATTAGCTGGGCGTGGTGGAAGGCACCTGTAGTCCCAACTACTAGGGAGGCTGAGGCAGGAGAATAGCTTGAACCCAGGAGGTGGAGGTTGCAGTGAGCCAAGATCACATCACTGCACTCCAACCTGGGTGACAGAGTGAGACTCCATCTCCAAAAAAAAAAAAAAAAAAAAAATTTCTGACCACTTTAACTTGAAAGTCATCCCCTTTTCTGGAGATTTTTTTCTCTCTCTCCCTCAAGCCCATAATGTCCTTACACACAGACACGGATGCATGGGTACTCTTTCCAAGGACTCTAGCATTGGAGCACTTTCCTTCTTCATACAGAGTATATATGTTTCATTCCGTCTTAGGATTAATTATAAAATTAGATGATGGGAGGAATGAACAAATAATTTCTAAATTTCTTCATAACTCTAACATTTTATGTCTATAAGCATGAAACTTATTCAATAACAGAAGTCACAGGAAAAGAAGGAAAAGCCCACGTGAAAAGTAGAATCATGGCTCCAGGAAGCGACAACACTACTGATTGAAAGAGAGTGAGGACAAAGTCCTGCTGACATGCCTGTTTTTCCATCAAAGGCAAAAATTAAAAGTTTACTTTTTAGCCAACTCCAGGCTTTGTGCCCATTCCCTCTTTGTCCCCATTCCTTCTTTCCCAGGTATTTCAGGGCATTCTTCTGAGAATAACTGTTTACGGATAATCACAGAGAATATACTTAAATACAGATTAAGTAAAAACTTCTAAGGAAGGGTTGGACTGGCCTGCATTGGTCCACTTTTTCATCCATCTACTTTAATTTGAGTCACAGTGGCAAATGCTTCCAGCAACAACTTGACAAACCTCTTACTCTTTCCTGCTTATAACCTGATTATCTGCTTTGAACAATAGCTAAAGCCATTCCTCTTTTGCTGGGATGGTTTTTTCCATCCTCTCTGCCAAACCATAGTTCATCTCCACATTACTGGAGTGCCTCGTGTCCTGTTACTAACATCGCACCACTCCATGCAGTCATAGAACAAGAGTGGGAGGGACCTCTGAGTCTGTCCAACCCTCATATTAAAGAAGAGGCAACTGAGGAACAGAGAAAGAGACATGTATTGCTCAAGAAACTCATAGCATTTGTGGGACTAGAACCTTTACATGCACCATACAACTTTTTTTTTTTAGGAGTCTTGCTCTGTCACCCAGGCTGGAGCACCCATCTTAATTTTGTATTTTCAGTAAAGACAGGGTTTCACCATCTTGGCCAGGCTGGTCTCAAACTCCTGACCTCCTGATCCACCCACCTTGGCCTCCCAAAGTGTTAGGATTACAGGCGTGAGCCACCGCACCAGGCCCACACAAGTTTTATATTCCATACTAGTACTTTCTAGAAAATCGAAGCTAACTTTCAAGGTGCCACTAAAAGTTGCTGTTTAAAGGAAGCCAACACTGACTATTACCATAAATTCAAAACATATTTTACTCTGCTTCTCATCAGTAAAAGAATTGCTTGAATTGAAGTGTATGTAATAAACCTATCCTCCTGCAAAACTAGTTAGTGGCTCTGTGGTTAATAACTCATTGAAGACCTGAGGCTGCTTCTTGGAAGGTGGTCCTGTGCTGCAGATAATTATGTCACTTGGGTTTCTAGTGAATATATTATGACTTGACTCTAAGATTCTTACTGTCACGAGGGAGGGTCTTGGCTCATTTGAGATTTCCCTAGTCCCCTGAGTGGTGATGAAATTGTTTTTACTGTCCTTCCTTAATAAAGATGTTGCGCTTTACCCATGTGCTGCTGTTAGCACTTGATGTGCTGTCTCAGAAAGAGAAAAAGGAGGATCCCAACCTTCCAGTAGGAAGGCTTAGGAAGAGGCTGTTGGCAAAAGTCTCTAAGAATTACACAACACTGGCTGAGGGTAGGTTAGGGGTGGGGAGGCAGAGGAGAAAACAACAATCCCCAAATGTTAGTTACGCTTGCAAAAAACGAAAGCCTGCTTCAAAAATCGGGTGATTAACCTGAATAAGAAGCAAAGCTTCCTTAGTTGTGGCAAGTGCAGGCCTCCCAGGGCCTCCCTTAGGTCCCCCTCGGAGCCTACTAACCAATAGAAGCGGCATCTCGGCCCAGCTGCGCAAAGTAAAAAGTAGAGTGGGAATGTAAAGTCGTGAATTCACACAAATACTGGACTTTCACTTCCCTCCCCATTCCTCCCTCTCCCAGCCCAGTCCCGCAAATGCCTCCCGGGGGAGACCCAAACTGCCTCTACCAGGAAGGGACTCCCCCGCCAAAGTGGGGGGGGGGATGAAGCTACCAAAGAGGAGGAAGAGCAGGAGGGTGAACCCACCTCGGCCTCAGAACAAGTCGGCAGAAACGGGCAGCACAGTGAAAAGAAGTTTTGTTTCTCAACCGCTTCTTCCTCCCTAGTTCGATGCTGGGAAGCTGGGAAGAAAACGCAAAGATGTTCTTTGGAAACCTACTTTGTATCTGGGTGGGGTTGGCGTGCGTCCGTGGGGTGACTGTGTGGACAAGGACGCAGATGGGTGTGGCGTGAGGAGAGGAGGGTCGGCCTGTCAGCCTCTGCGTAGGTGGGACCGCGCCCCGCTTCTCCGAGGAGGCCCCTCCCTCCTGGATCCGCTTTGGACCTGGCGCCGCAGAAGCCCCCGCCCCAAGGCCGTAGGGGGGCAGCCCAGGCAATAAACGAACCTGAGATCCACGTGCCCCTTCCTCAGCTGGAACCCAGAGGGCAGCAGCCGCGAGGGCACAGCCTCCACGGACAGCAGATGGCGGGAAACTGGCTTCTGTTTCCAAGAGCCAGGTGGCCTTTCGGAGACGACCCCTGGCTGAGCGTCCAGGAACCCATGAAACTTGGTCTTGACACTGGTCGGCAGTCCATCTGCCACGTATTTAGTGCTGCTTTCTTTGGCAGGGCAGCCTAACGCGAGACGGTTTGTGTTTCAACTCCAACTAAAACTTTGTTCAGTACTTGCCAAAATGGTGTGGAAAAGCATTACCACTTCGGGCTCGTCCGGGATTTGAACCCGGGACCTCTCGCACCCAAAGCGAGAATCATACCCCTAGACCAACGAGCCGTTGTGACTTGACGTTCCTTCTTATGATGCTGAATTTCTCTTTTCCGCCAGCAACTGACCGCCTCCTGTTCCGAAGGTTTTGTTGTTGTTCCCTCTGTTGTGGCATTTCCTTTGGCCTTATTTAGTTATTCCTTCCACCTTTACCAAGTTTCACGTGTGGCTCTGGCCTTACCCTCGCTTATTATCCTCGATACAGACGCAGGATGGGGTAAGAAGAGGCAGCTTTTTAGATTTTAGGTCACATGCTTGAGTCTCACCGAGCCCGTGATAAAGATTTAAGCCCCGCTACAGCCTGGAGGGAACCTGGAGGGGACTGAGATGGAGATCGAGGGCCAGAGCGGAGCTCAGTTGCAAGGCTGTAGGGTACTGAGCCTGAGGACAGGAGCGCGCTATGTATAATCCAGAAGCCAAAATACAACACACTTCACTAAGATAATAGTGCCTCCCCCGCAACGGTTGGACCATTCTGTCTCACAGAAAAGTATCCGACTTTTCAAGGTATGACTAACGCAGCTCAATTCGTTGCTGTTTCCTTCGGGACAGGGTAAGGGATATAAAGAGATTTCCTCATGTCAACATACAGAGATTTATTGGACAAACCGAGAGCAACTGTTAACCCCAAAACAGCAGCTTCTCCTTCGAGCCGGAATCGAACCAGCGACCTAAGGATGGCCACACAGTAAGTACTACAGTCCTCCGCTCTACCAGCTGAGCTATCGAAGGGAGCGCAGAGATGTGTTTTCTACAAATCCGTGTTCAAGACATCCTTAACCAGAGACTGGAAAGAAAGAAATCTCTTAAGATCTGAAAAGTGATTACTGCAGCGTCGCAAAGCCAGCTTGTAAGAACGTCCTGAGTCCGAGGTTCTGAAGACAACCTTTCTAAAGCTGGATTCCCCTGCTCCACTGAGGGGTTCCCAAGCAGAGCAGTCGCCCCCGGAACCTGGGTATCCCGAGGCTGCACATCCTCTGGGTGCCCGAGGGTTGCTGGCCTCACTGGACGGGGACCCAGAGGCCTCGCGGGCACGGATCTGTGTGTTTGTATGTAAGGTGGGGACCGGCACCTGGGCGTCGGAGCACTGGGGCTGAGGCAGTGGGACGCACACAATTCTGACTGCGCAACTGTGAGCGCCGGAGAGGGCGGGCCTCGGGGCTCAGGCCCGGGCTCTCTGGTGTCCTCACTTCCTGCGATCCCCTCCCAATCTCGGCTCTTCTGCTTACACGTCCATAGACCCGGGAGGGAGAGGGTGTGGAATGGAGCAGTGGTCCCCACTTTTTTGGCGCCAGAAACCGGTTTCCTGGAAGACAGTTTTCCACCCACAGTGGTTGGGGAGGGGGGGAGTTGGGGGATGGTCTCGGGATGAACTATTCCACCTCAGATCATCAGGCATTACTTAGATTCTCTTAAGAAGCGTGCAGTTTCGAACTCTGGCATGCGCAGTTCACAATAGGGTTCGCTCCTGTGAGATGCTAAGGTCACAGCTGATCTGGCAGGAGGCGGAGCTCAGGCTACCGGTACTGGTCGCGCCCCAGCTCGCCTCCTGCTGTGCGGCCCGGTTCCTAACAACAGGCCCGAGGATCGGGAACCCCTGAAATAGAGGACGTGTGGGCAAACCCAATGTTTCTGTGAGAATTCGCTTTTGGAGAAAATAATTTTAGCCCATTCAAAAGGAAGGCCACATTTCTCTGCGTCAGAATCAAATTTAGTGACCCAAGTCTCGCCCCTAAAGTCGGGCCCTTAATTTCCCAAAACCCCACTGGCACATGAAACCTTGCCGCACAGCGGGCATCTATCTTCCGGACGCTTAACCCGAGCAGCCACCGCTGGCTTTTCCCGTTTCGGAAGGGGAACATTGATCTCCACTCCAAATACTCAGACCCCGGGCGTAAGAATAGTTTAAGGGGCTATTCTCTCGCCTGGTCGCCCCCATTTCCCGCCTGGGGCACTGGTTTCGGCAGCCAGCTGGGCTCTCGCCACCTGTCCTCAAGCCAGGGCGTCGCAGAAGCTGACGGCGATTTCCACCGCTGGTGTAATGGATTCCGCCGCATTCCAGGCGACGGAGCAGCGTTACTACCGGAACCTAAAGGAAACGGTGTTTGGAAGCTCTGGACTGAAGCAAGAAGCTATAATTTGCCACATTTCCTCAGGCTTAGTTCAGAATGACGAGCAGGGGAATATTTTAAAGAAAAACCTGATTCAAGGAAGCAAACTTATAAGGCCCCAGCGAGATTTGAACTCGCGACCCCTGGTTTACAAGACCAGTGCTCTAACCCCTGAGCTATAGGGCCTCACAGAAATTTCCTTTCTTTCTTTCGTAGAAAAGGAAAACATTTGCAAGGCTTCTAATATCTGAGTATAGAAACTAAACAAAGCCTTGATGTTTCAATCCATTTTCCAACCACTAGAATTCAGTTCGCAGACTCAGTGTTTTTGCTGGGGATGGTGCAAAGTGAAGGCCAGTGACAGCGACCAGTACTATTCTAAGAGTGGAGAAGTTTGCCCAACGCGACACAGTCTAACACACAGAAAGATTCTCCACTCCCCCACTTCAGACTGAAAATTAAGAACGGAAAACCAGCAGAGGAAGGAGCCCACCACAGGCCTCACTTGAAATTGCTGACATCCGCATTTTGTTTCCTGCTTGACTCAGGACTTCGTACCAGCAGCTGCCTGCCTCTTCCAAGTTCCCTGGACGCAGAGACCTTTCTCACAGCTACGAGTCTCAGCGCCGAGCAGGCATTCATTAATTCTCAGTTTAATTCATTCCTTCATTCAACAAATACTGCATTCCAATTCTGTGCTAGGCTCTGCACTAAGAACTAGGGATCCAGATATGATCTTTATCCTGAAGTCACTGTCACAGTCTTGTGGAACAAAAGAACTTTAGTTTTCATGAAGGAAAACAATGTAAAGTAGCTGTGCCAGGTGTAAAAGAGCAGTGGCCATGCCAAGGTCCTCACACTTACAAACTGAGCCATCCGGAGGGGTCTTGAAGAGAGCACTGGCCTGAGCTACACTACAAAGGGAAGTTAAGACAGACAAAAATAGGAGCAGGGTGGTCCCTGGTAGAATAAAATTACGGGCAAAGTCCGAGGGAAAGACTGAGGCATTCAAGGTAACACTGGCTGGTGCAGTAGGTGAGAAGAAAATAGAAATTAACCAAACATTGATGAGTTTGCGGAATAAATTGAAGGGAGGAGCAACCAGAGTCAGAAACACCAGTGATTGATTGGCATGGTGCAGACGCTCCAACAGAAAGCTGCAAAGGGGTAATCGTTATGGAACTGGAAAGGAAGGGATGAATGAGAGCGATACAGCTAAGGGAGACTCTGCTGAACGTAAATATGAAGCACAATCAAAAGGAAAGAGAGGGGACCCTCAAAGGTGTCTTGAAGAAGCAAGATAATACTTGCAGAAAAAAAGAAGCCTATCTCTTCAGGGTATCTGGAGAGGCAGAGGGGTGATGCTAGGATTTAGGTAAGATGAAGATGGAGCAGTTGAAAACGGAGCAGTTGATGTGAATTGTGTGATAGCCAAAATACTCTTGTGTCTAGAGTTCCATGAATTGATAGATGAATTGATCAAATTGCATAACTCATCCATTAAATTAGGAGTTCTACGGGTTATGCACTCTTGAAGCAAAAGAATACAGAGAAAACAGCCGAGACTAGAATATAAGCTTTGAATAGCCCTGTTATAGGCGTCTGTTATATTAGTGTGTTTCCAACATATTTTAAAAATTCTCCTTACATGTGGCTATTTCATGTATTATAAGTAAGTCTGTCCTAGAACACTTGCTTTCCCAGCTTGCAGCTGGGAATAGGCATGGGACCTAGGCTCCACCAATCAGATGCCTCACCCATTGAAGCCTGACATTTAGAAACAAAACAGGAGTACATGATACCATAGGGAAAACCCATGTTTTTCCAAATATGGTATCAGTGTCAAGTTTTTGAGTATGGGTTTTCTTAAATCCACATACTGCTGTTTTTCTTTAGTTCTGGAAAATTCTCATTGTATTAGTTTGCTAGGGCTGCCGTAATAAAATACTACAGACTAGCTGACTTAACAAATTCATTTTCTCACGGTGCTGGAGGTAAAAAATCCAAGATCAAGGTGTTGGCAGGTTTTGTTCCTTCTGAGACCTCTCTCCTTCACTTAGAGTTGGCTGCCCTCGGCACATGGCTGTCCCTCTGTTGTCCACACCCTAAGGCATCTCTTTGTGTCCAAATTTACTTCCCTTATAGGGACACTAGTCAGGTTGGATTAGGACCAACCCTGAAGGCCTCATTTTAACGTAATCACCTATTTAAATGCCCTATCTCCAAATACAGTTACATTGTGAGGTACTAGGGATCAGGGCTTCAACATATGAATTTAGGGGGGATACATTTTAGCTAATAGTAGCCATTATCTTCTCCTATATTGTTTGTTTGTTTGTTTTTAGGCTAGTCAAATGAAGCAGTGGAACTGGAAGGAACAAAGAGATCTGTAACTGGTTGTGATCAATTAGTTGTAAACACCACTGCACTCAGACCAGCCAGCCTCTTACATTGTTTTTACTCTATTTTTTTTTCTCTCTTTTTGGAACTGAGATTAAACATCTATTAGTGCTTCATGCCTTGTCTTCCATTTCTTTTAACTTCTCTTCCATATTTCTTTGTCTTTTCCTCTATATTGCATTCTGGATAACGTTTTCTTACCTGTAATACCAATCAGTGGCCAGGCATGGTGGCTCATGCCTGTAATCCCAGCACCTTGGGAGGCTGAGGCGAGTGGATCAAGAGATAATGAGTTCAAGACCAGCCTGGCCAACATGGTGAACTCCTCTCTACTAAAAATACAGAAATTAGCCGCCTGTAATCCCAGCTACTTGGGAGGCTGAGGCAGGAGAATTTCTTGAACCCAGGAGGCAGAGATTGCAGTGAGCCAAGATCATGCTACTGCACTGCAGCCTGGGTGACAGAGCGAAACTCAATCTCAAAAAAAAAAACAAAAAAAAAACACTAATCAGTAATTCTCTCTACATCTCTGCTTATTTTGGTCATTTATTTTGGTTAAAATGTAATTTCCCATTCTAGAAGTTCTAGTTGTTTTTCAAAACTACTAGGCCAATTTTTTTAATTCCTATTTTTTGCAGATATTTTCCAGCTTGTCTTTTACTTCCTTAAGCACAGTAATTATAATCATTTTAATATATATTACTGATACTCCTAATATCTGAATTTTATGCCATGTTGTTTTGTCAATTCATGTTCTTTTGTTTTCTTATAAAATTAGTCATCTTTGAATGTGTACTGCTTGATGTCTTTGCAAAATTACATGCAGTGAGTTTTTGAGGACAAGATGAAGGTTATCTTCCTTTCAAAATATATATATTACTTTTTTTCTCCCAGGCACTTGGTGCTGTATCAGCCCAAGAGGACCCGAAACAACGTTCATGGCCAGGCATTCTCTGGACCTCCAAGATACGTAAACGCAAGCTGCAAATCAGAATACTGACCTGTGGTCACAGTTTCTCAGAAAAACTCATCACATTTTCTGTTTTCCTTTGCTAAGCTCAACTTATATCTGCTGAACTCCACAACAATTACTAGAAGTAAGAGAACAGATATAGGTCTACTTCTTGTTTGGCCTTACCTTAGGGGAATATCTCTTTGGAGTCCCAATTTAATATTGGGAGGGTGTCTTGCTTTTGAAAATATCAATTTCTGACAGTTCATTGCTAGTACATACAATTGTACATATGTATATACAATTTATAAAATAATATACGCCAAGCCTGGCCAACATAGCAAAGTTCCATTTCTACAAAAAATGTATTTTAAAAATTATCCAGGTGAGGCTGGGTGAGGTGGCTCATGCCTGCAATCCCAGCACTTTGGTAGGCCAAGGTGGGTGGATCACCAGAGGTCAGGAGTTCGAGACCAGCTTGGCCAACATGGTAAAACCCCATCTCTACTAATAATACAAAACATTACCTGGACATGGTGGCACATGCCTGTAATCCCAGCTACCTTGGAGGCTAAGGCAAGAGAATTCCTTGAACCTGGGAGGCGGAAGTTGCAGTGAGTTGAAATTGTACCATTGCACTCCAGCCTGGGCAACAAAAGCAAAACTCCATCTCAAAAAATAAACAAATAAAATAAAAATAAATTATCCAGGTGTGGTGGTGAGTGCCTGTATTCGTAGCTATTCAGGAGACTGAGGCAGGAGTTCAGACTACACCATTACACTCCAGCTCAGGAAACAAAATAAGAATCTGTCTGAAAAAGAAAAAAAAGAAAAGAAAATATATATATACACACCCACACATATGCACACAATTAATTTTTTTTTTTTTTGAGACAGAGTCTCACTCCATCACCAGGCACCAGGCTGGAGTGCAGTAGCGCGATCTTGGCTCACTGTAACCTTCGCCTCTCAGGTTCAAGCAATTTTCCTGCCTCAGCCTCCCGAGTAGCTGGGACTACAAGTGTGCGCCACCATGCCCAGCTAATTTTTTGTATTTTTAGTAGACGGGGTTTCACCATGTTGGCCAGGATGGTCTCAATCTCTTGACCTCGTGATCCACCTGCCTTGGCCTCCCAAAGTGCTGCGATTACAGGCATGAGCCACCACGCCCGGCCCACACAATTTAATTTTTAATATTTATCTTTTATCTTGCAACTTCACTAAATTCATTTTTAATTTTTGTCTTAGTCCCTTTGTGCTACTGTAACAAAATAACCGAGACTGGGTACTTTATAAATAATAGAAATTTATTTCTTATAGTTCTGAAGTCTAAAATTAGGGTGTTGGCAGTATCCGTGTCTGGGGAGGGCTTGGTCTCTACTTCCAAGATGGTGCCTTGAAGGCTGTTTTCCTAAGAGGATGAACACTGTGTTCTCACATGGTGGAAGGGATGGGAAGGCAAAAGGAGCCTAGCTAGTTCCCTCCAGCCCTTTTATAAGGTCTTAATACCATTTACTAGAAGCCCTAATAATTTAATCACCTCCTAAAGGCCTCACCTCTCACTACTTGCTGTATTGGGGACTGCGTTTCAACACGAATTTTGGAGGGGACGCAAATATTCAAACCATAGCAATTATAGAAGCTTTCTGTAGATTACATAGGATTTTTTTTCATAGACTTTCATGTTTTCTCAGAACAAAACAGTTTTACTTCTTCATTTAAACATGGATGACTTCCATTTTAATTTTTTTGCATTACTCAATGTTCAAGAATCTCCATACAGTGCTGATGATAGTAATGAAAGCGGAGGTCCTTGCTTGTTCTAAGCTTACAGAGAAGACATTCAGTCTTTCATCATTAAGTATATTGTCAGCTGAAAGTTTTTCATAGGTGCCCTATATCAGATTGAGAAAAGACTCTTCTAATTTGCTGAGAGTTTATATGAGTCCAGTTAAACCTATTTTTCATCCCAGTCTTGGGTATGTCATTAGCAGCGTGAAAACGGACTGATGTACTTGTCCTACTTCAGAAAGAGGCAGCCTCTGGGGGCAAAAAAAAAAAAAAATTTTTTTGGTCGGTTTGCAGAGGAGGCGAGCCAAGCCCCAGGGGGCACTGAGGAGGAAGGGTATCACAGTGCATCTGCAAGCCCTGGGCGAGATCTTCTCACCTAGTCCCATTTATTCTCTCACTTTCCGCACACTTTAATGCGCCAAAAGGTGAGCATAGGACACTGAGAGGGGGGAAAAGGCGGGGGCACGTCGAGAGAAAGGGCATGTGTGTGCTGGCAGAGAAGGGAGTAGGAAGGCCAGAGTTTTATGCAAAGACTTCCAGCAGACCCTGAAGCTGGTTTGCGGATAGTGGCCGCCCATCCAGAATCTTCGCGGGTTCTTGTTTCCTCCTCCAGCAAGCTCTGTCCCATAGAATCCACCCATCCACCTCGCCCAGCCCTCTGCCCGAGCCCTCTCACCCTCTTATTTTCTTTCACTGAGGGCTGTCATCCTCACTTGTAAACAGGGAGATGCACAGGTGGAGGAAGGCCCCAAGTGAGAGCCTCCAGTACTGGATCTTGGCTATCAGCACCCTGGGACGCGAGGAAACCACACCCAGAGGATTTGCTCCGCCCCGAAAGGGGCTCGGTGGCTACCGGCGCAGAGTTCTCTTCTAGGGCGGGTTCCAATAAACTGAAAGTGTGTTTAGCGTTCCAGGGACCTAGCTTCTTCCATTTGCAGAAAGTCCAATGACGCAGCTCTCAGAGCGTGCACCCTTCGATAGCTCAGCTGGTAGAGCGGAGGACTGTAGATTGAATAGTAATCTGTGGACATCCTTAGGTCGCTGGTTCGATTCCGGCTCGAAGGAAATGCCAGATCCTTTTGCACCTGGTGCCTTGGTCAAAGGCCCTGCAGTCTCCAACTAGTATCCACCCACACTCTCCCAGTCAAAACCCAGAGAAACCTGTCCTGATCACGTGGGTTTCCACACCTGTACTGTGGCCAGGAAACACACCCACAAGCCCATTCATTCTCCCCATAGTCCAGGGACCTACACTCTTCAGCACAAAGCTCCCCTTGCTTCTGCACTGTGACCCAGTCAGCCCCTCCCTGCCACACCCTTTGCACCCCCACCTTCCAGAGCTCTTTCACTTTTATTCACAGACTGCTCTGAGTCCTAAGGGTCACCCAGCAACACTGTGCTCACCGTTGATAGATTGAGGTATCTATCAAACTAGTGGGTCTACCATCAAGTCCCAGAAGGTCAACCCTACTGGAAGAGAAAAGGGTCAGAGACAACTGTGACATCCTCAGGAAAAAAAAACATGCGGTATATGCTCTGTCAGTGTGTCTCTCTGTCTCTGTCTCTCTCTCTCTCGCTCGCTCTATTTCTCTGACTGTATTTCTCTTGTCATCACTTGCTTGTAATATATAGATGTATACAGACAGAAAATGTTCATTTTTATTTTGTCTATTTGTGGGAAAGAGTTGCCACCTTGAGATTTTCTTAATGAACAGAGCTTCCACTGGCTCCATAATGTTTTCCTTCAGGTTGAGAACAAGAGTATGCCCCCTTCCCACATACACCAAACCTCACATTTTCTGAGCCTTAACACCCTTTAATGTTGCTACAGCAGCCTTTGGGCTCCTGCTGGAAGAAGAAAGATATCTTCCACTCAGTTCAAAGTCTGCAAAAACACCTACACCAAGTATCTTGCTAGTTGTGAGGGTGTGGGAGAGGGAAAGAGAGCATAAAAGGGCAGACTTGGAAAGAACTTCAGTGACCTGGGAGAGTTGGGGGCTATTGCGTCCATGGCAGGGAGCAGAATTGAAGAGTGAGTGGCAGCTGCCACCCTGAAGAGGCACACAGGTTCACCTCCTTAGGCCACTGGCTTGTTGCAACTGAGAAGCAGGCTAACTTTTGTCTGGGGGCTCTGGAGGCACAGTTGGAAGTTTGCAGCTTCTACAAGAGGAAGATTGCTAGGCACAGTCTGAGAGTGTGAAGCAGGATATGGGCTTGACTTTCACCAACCAAGTGGGGCTTCACCTCTGGGAAGATGAAGTGAGTTCATCAAAGTATGGGCCAGAGAGGAACCACAATGCGTGTCCCTGGTCTCATCCTATGCTCTGGGAAAACAATCTCCGGACACTTGATGTACAGATGAAAGTTATCATAGAGAGCACTCCAAGCAAAACAATGACGGAAATTTGGTTCTCAGAGGGCTTGTAGGAACCCGGTGGCCATTCTCACCTACCCAATGGGCATAACTGCTTTTTCCCTCTGTGTCTCAAACTGGAGACTACACTTGTCTTCCTCTCCTAGAAAGCAGCTCCTGTTCTCTGCCTACAACCTATTCCCCACCTCCACTTCTCTGCTGTGTCAGCCTTTCCAGCTTCCCACTGCTAATGGAAAGGGGTGGAGCTGTGGACTCACCAGGGCCCCAGCAACATTCTGTATGTAGCTCTGCAGCCACAGAAAGATCCCAGCCTCTAATTACATTACTGCAGAGATCAGCAAACTGAGACCAAAGTAGAACCTCTGGTCTATACTGGGTATGTCTGTGATGAGATATGATGGTACCAGGTTTTTTGGAACCTAGGCTTGGTGCTTTGAAGGCAGAGGTGAGCCGTTGAGTGGTGTTCGGTCATCAGCAAGTGTGGGTGATCCCTGACCCTGACTTTTCCCCTATAAACTCAGTAAAAGGTGGATCCTTTGGGTTCGGCTTGGGTACCACTGGTACCCGTTTCACTGTTTGTGTGGGTGACGAGTGATCTTGGGATAGTGGACACACACCATATAGGATCTGAAACTTTGGCAACAATTTGAGGCCTAGGTAAGGGGTCCAAAGCTCACCTTGTGTCCTCTATTGACCCCTTTCCCTTTCCAGGAGGCCCTACTTCAGAAAGCAGCAGCCTCTGACAAAGAATTCTTGGTCAGTTTGCAGAGAGGTGGATCGAAGCTTTTAGGCTGGCCCTTGGGGTTAGAGGTAGTGAGTATCACATGGTGATCTTTGAGCCCCTGGCCCTGGTCTCCCCCACCTATCTTTTTAAAATATGATTTCTGTCCCCAAGGCTGGAGTGCAGTGGCAAAATCACAGCTCACTGCAGCCTTGAACTCCTGGGCTCAAATGATCCTCTCACCTCAGCCTCCTGAGTGGCTAGGCTCACAGGTGCAGGCCACCATATGCAGATAACTTTATAGAGTTTTATTTTGTAGAGACTGCTTCTCTCTATTTTCCCAGGCTGATCTCAAACTTCTGGGCTCAGGTGCCTATCCTGCCTCGGCCCTGCTCAAGTGCTGGGATTGCAGCGGGAGCCACCATGTCCAGCTTCCACTTATCTTCCTGTGTTCCCTCCCTGTCTTCCCATTATGCCTCAATATGCCAAAAAGTGAGCATAGGATACTGTGGGTAGAAGGGCCCACCACATTGAGAGGAGTGTGTTTGGGGTGGTGGGAAGTATAGGCCAGGCTGATAAGGCAGTGCCCCTTTAGGGTCTTCCACCAGACCCTGACACTGGGCTGGGGTTGGAAGTTGCTTACACCGCGCCCCTGTGGTACCCTTTCCTCCTCCAGCGACCTTGCTCCACTGGACCCACCCATTAATCTCACCAACCCCTCTGACCTCGACGTCTACCTCATTTTCCCTCTGGCCATTAAGCACTGTCATCCTCACATGTAGAAAACGCTATGCACAGGGAAAAGAAAGCCACAGGTGAGAGCTCCTCCTAGTGGATCGTGACTATCAGCACCTGAGAGATGCCAGGCACCCCCGCCCAGAGGATTTGCTCTGCCAGGAAAGGAGCATGGTGGAGACCCTCGCAGTCTCTTTCAAGTCGGGTTCCAATTAACTCAACGAGTATTGGATCTCCAGCATTTCAGGAACTTGGCTCCCTCCATTTGCAGAAAGCCCAATGACCCAGCCTCAGCAGTGTGCTCCCTTTGATAGCTCTGCTGGTGGAGTAGAAGACTGTGGACTGCACAGGTGTCTGTGGACATCCTTAGGTCGCTGGTTTGATTCCAACTCTGCTTTTGCACACAAGGCTGCCTGAAGATCTTGCAGCCTTCAAGTCATAACTACACTTTCCCAGGGAAAACCCAGCAAAATCCTGCCTTTCCTGATCACACCCCTGGGAGCCTACTCATTCTTCCTGAACAGGGACTCAGGACTCATAGTCTTCAGTGCAAAACATTACCCCTTGCCTTGTGACCCAGCCAAACCCGCATTTGTGTGCCCATTATCCTTTGCCTTTCCACTTGTATTTACAAACCGCCCACCCATCGCCCTGTCCCAAATCCCTCAAGCTACACCTTTCCTGAGACATCACAACTTTATATGTTGCTACAGCCAAGTTTGGCTACTGCTGGAAAGGTAAGGATGTCTAATGCTCAGTTCAAAGTCTGCAAAAACACCTGCACCAAGTGCTCTGCTACTTGAGAGGGCAAGGAAAAGGGAGTACAAAAGAAGTGGACTTCAAAACAGCTTCAGTGATCCCGGGGAGTTAGGGGCTATGAGGTCCATGGCAGAAAGCAGAAATAGAGCTTGAGTGACAGCTGTCATTATACAGGGGAACATGAATTTGTCTCCTTAGGCCACTGCCTGGTGGGTCTGAGCAGTTTTGAGCTTTTGCTCTCGAACCTAGAGAGGCACAGTTTCCTTCTCCTAATCCCAAGAAAAATGTGCTGAGGCCCAGTCAGAGAGAATGGAGTCAGAAATGTACTGGGCTTTATCAACCAAGTGAAGCTTCATCTCTGAGGAGTTGGAGTGGGTTTGGTGGGTATATGGCAGAGAAGAAAGCCAATGAGCATCTACTGGTCTTGTCGCAGGATCTTGGACAAAGCTTCCAGATGTTTGATGTAAAGAAGCAACCTATCATACAGAGCACTCCAAACTGAATGGCCCAGGAAAGCATGGCCTCCTGAATCCTGCTTGGGACTGGCTCACCCCATCCGCTACCTGCTGGGTCCTCAAGAGCTGTTTAATCATGCCTTTCAAACTGGATACTGCACATGCATTTTTCTTTTTCTTTTCTAAATAAAGATGGGGTTTCACCATGTTGGTCAGGCTGGTCTTGAACTCCCGACCTCAGGTGATCCGCCCGCCTTGGCCTCCAAAGTGCTTGGATTACAGGCATGAGCCACCACACCCGGCAAGCACATGCATTTTTCATGTGGAAAGCAGCTCCTGATCTCCCCCCACTGCCTATTCTCCTCCACGTCACCCTCAACTGTGTCAATCTTTCCTTCTTCTTTGGTATCGCCAATGCTCCGGGATGATTCTATGGTTCTGGAGCCACAGAGAGACCCCAGCCTCCAGTGACACCAAAGGCAGAGACGAGCTAACAAGGAGGGACCAAAGGTAGCACCTCAGGCCTTCACTGGATATATTCCTGATGGGGCATGGAGTCACCGGATCCTTTGGAACCTTTGTTTAGTGCTTTGGGGGAAAACCAGAGGTGAGCCAACAAGTGGGTTTGGTGGCAGTCACAAGTAAGGGCGAGTCTTGGTGCCCACTCTTCCCTGTGCCATGGCAGAGAGTAGCAGGAGGTCTGTGAGGATCTGACCCTCACCCTCGGAGACACACACCCACTTGCCATAAGACAGGACATGGTCATAAACTCAGTGGAGGCTAGGTCTCTTGGGTGTGGCTTCCTGTGCCTCCTCTAGGTGTTATGCTGCAGGGTGGGTGTCTCCGTGGTCTTGGAGTGGTGGGTACACAACAGATGGGATCTGAAACTTTTGTTAAAGATGTGGGGTCAGGATAAGGAGTCCAAAACTCACAAGTCTGTCTTCTATCTGGCTTCTTGTTTCTCAAGGAAACCCACAGAACTTTGCTCTACTTCAGAAATCAGCAGCTTCTGATTGGAATTCTTGGTCTGTTTGCAGAAGAGTATATCTCACATGTGCATCTGCAAGCCTGGGAGAGATTTCCTCCCCTCACTTCCCAGTGCACCTCAATACGCCAAAATGTGAGCATAGACTACTATGAGAAGGGCTGGGCAGCTGGGGAGGAGGGCCTTGTGCGTGTGGTTGGGGAGGGAGGAGAGAGGCCAGACTGTGCCTATTAGGGACCTGCACCAGACCCTGAGGTTGGGCTGGGGTTGTCAGCTGCCTATCCAGCACTCATTAGGGTTCTCCTCTTTTCCTCCTCCAGCGTCCTCTCCCCCACTAGACCCACCCATCCACCATGCCAATCCCTGTGCCCTAACTGACTCACTTTCTCCATTTCTCTCAAGCGACTAGGGGCTGTCATCGTCACCTGTAGAAAGGGGGCTGCTCAGGGAAGGGAAGGCTGTCACAGATGAGCGCTCCTCCGGGTGGATGGTGGCTATCGGCGCCCGAGAAATGCCAGGCATCCTCCCTCAGAGGATTTGCTCCGCCTGGAAAGGGGCATGGTGATGACAGGTGCAGGATTCTCCTCCAAGGTGGATTCCAGCTACCCCAACACATATTGGACCTCAAGCATTCAGGGATGTGGCTTCCTCTGTTTGCAGAAAGTCCAATGACCCAGCTTTGGCAGCATGCACCCTTCGATAGCTCAGCTGGTAGAGCGGAGGACTGTAGGCTGTACAGATATTTGTGGACATCTTTAGGTCGCTGGTTCGATTCCGGCTCGAAGGAAGTGCCTGATATTTTTGCACTCGATGCTGCCTGGCCACACCTGTGCATGGTTAAAAGCCTTGCAGCCTCCAAGTAGTAACCACACTCTCCCAGGCAAAACACCCTTGAAGTCTTTCCCCATCACCTAGCTCCCCACGCCTTGCTTTGTGACCCAGCCAATCCCCCTATTCGTGCTGCCAAAGCTGGGCCATTTGACTTTCTGCAAGAAACATAAGACCTGACCTCGAATTGCAACATATTCCTAACCTTATTAGGTAAAAGGACAGTGGATAAATGTCAGTCTTTTTCAGATGGAAATCAAGAGGTGTAATCCTTTCAAGTCCACCCTTTGCCTGCCAGTCCCACATCATAAACAAACTGAAATACCTTGTGACATTCTGAGTCAATCTCCTTGTTTAGTATCAGTGCCTCCTCAAGTCAAAATTATTAAGCACTTAAAAGATAAACATTGTCTTTTTTTTTTTTTTTTTTTTTGAGACAGAGTTTTGCTCTTGTTACCCAGGCTGGAGTGCAATGGCGCGATCTCCGCTCACCGCAACCTCCGCCTCCTGGGTTCAGGCAATTCTCCTGCCTCAGCCTCCTGAGTAGCTGGGATTACAGGCATGCGCCACCGTGCCCAGCTAATTTTTTGTATTTTTAGTAGAGACGGGGTTTCACCATGTTGACCAGGATGGTCTCGATCTCTCGACCTCGTGATCCACCCTCCTCGGCCTCCCAAAGTGCTGGGATTGCAGGCTTGAGCCACCGCTCCCGGCCAAGATAAACATTCTCTAAAAGAAAAGAGGGTGGAGTCATAGAGGCTGGTAACCGAAATAAATAACATGGTGACTCAGCCTTCTCAGGATCCAAAGACACTCCTTTTTTTTTTTTTTTTTAAATAAGGCAGAAGAACAGCATCGGAGAAGCCATGCCTAGGATGAAAGCCTAAAATGCAAGCAGTTTCTTACTAGGCATAGCTCCTTGTTTTCCCATGTTGCAGCCTCACAGTCTTTCAGATAATAAGGATAATAATGAATCTGAGTCACAAAAAGGGCATGTGAGTTCCTGCCTCTGTCTTACAGCATGACCCACGATCAATGGGAGATTAACACTGTCCCAGTAGATGTATTCTTTATACAGGTGAGATTTCCCTTCTTCTAGCTTTAATATTTTACTGAAAATGTTGGAGAGCCAGAAATGGTACCTCCGAAGTAACCAGCTTAATCAATTTAATTTTCGCCACTCCCACCCAGACTCTTTTACTCAGCCAAAATATACCATGTTTCCTGGGCTTACAAACACAAGGTGATAACAGGGGCTTACTCTGCTTTGATCTCTCTGCCTCCTCTTTTGTCAATCTTCTCATTCTCTGTTACTCAAGGCAGGATCATCTTTTGCCAGAACCTTTTCCTAACTCCCCATGTCTTCATCTGGTTCTCCTTCTCTTTGTCTCTGATACTCCCTGATTACTACATCTTCCCACCTATCACTCTGTAATGATATTATGCATTAATATCTCTATCAGGAGGGACAGGAGTGAGCTCCTTGAAATCTGGGACAATGTCATATTCATTTTGGTATCATCAGTGACATGCACAGCACCCTGCACAGGGTAGGCACCTGGAATCTGATTATTTACTGGCCACGAGGTATTTCAACACCAGCTCAAGAAAGATGAGAGTGCTGAAGAAATCATTACATCCTGGAATAATGACTAGAGACCACTTTATTGGAACACAGGAAAGTCTCACAATTTCTTCTAAGATGGGATCCAGAGGTGACATACTCCATGTAATAGCCTGGTGGTTTCTATGATAAAAAGCAAATGAAGAAGCTTCTGAGAATTGTAAAACTGGATATTCACATCAACTCTATCACCAAGGAAATCTGAAAGCTGAAAAAATATGCAAAAGCATCTGCTTGATGACATTGGATAGAAACAAAAATGAGAAGAGTTAACCAAAATCTGGGAGAGGTAGTAAACCAGAGTGGTCATAATGAGAAAATCACCACACATATGTAAATAACTCAAATAAAGCCAGCATGAATTTTATAATAAAAGCAGACAAGGACACTAAAAGAAAGAATTGTTATAAGTCAATTTCATTTACTAACATTAATATAAAAATTCTAAACAAAAATTTGCAACCCATATAGAGCCACATACACAAAAAAATATGTATCTGACAAAATTGGAGCTATTGGACAAAAGTAGGATTGATTTAACCTTAGAAACTTCAATGGAATTCACTCTCCTAACAGACCAATGGAGAAAAATAATAAGACTACCTTAATAGATACAGAAAATACATTTAGTAATTTCAGTGTCTTTTGTAATAAAATACATTCACAAACTAGGAAAATAAGGCAATTTACTTAGTTTGGTGAAATGTATCTACCAAAAAAGTCTCATTGCTCACTCTATGTCCATATGAAATGGTTTACCTGTGTCCACACCCAAATCACATCTTGAGTTGTAGTTCCCATAATCCCCATGTGTTGTGGAAGGGACCTGGTGGGAGGTAATTGGATCATGGGGGTGGTTTCCCTTATGCTGCTGTTCTCCTGATATTGAGTGAGTTCTCACGACATCTGATGGTTTTATAATGGGCTTTTACCCCTTTTGCTGGGCACTTCTCTGTCCTGCTTCCCTATGAAGAAAGGACATATTTGCTTCCACTTCCACTATAATTGCAAGTTTCCTGAGGCTTCCCCAGCTATGCTGAACTGTGAGTCAATGAAACCTCTTTTCTTTATAAATTATCAGTCTCTGGTATGTCTTTATTAGCTACATGAGAATGAACTAATACAGCATATCACACAGCATGTTTAATGGTGAAACGCTCCTAGATTTCTGTTTGAGATTGAAACAAGGTTCAGGTTCCTGACTGACGCCTCATTCCTATTTTTTGTTGTTTGGTTTTTCTGGAGAGGGGAAGTTTTTTCTTTTTCTTTTTTTTTGAGATGGATTCTCACTGTGTTCTCCCCACACACCCGCACCCCCATTCTGGCTGGAGTGCAGTGGTGCAATCTCTGCTCACTGCAACCTCCACCTTCTGGGTTCAAGAGATTTTCCTGCCTCAGCTCCCACATAGCTGGAATTACAGGCGTCAACCACCACACCTGGCTAATTTTTGTATTTCTAATAGTAGCAGGGTTTCACCATCTTGGCCAAGCTTGTCTAGAACTCCTAACCTCAAGTGATCCACCTGCCTCAGCCTCCCAGAGTGCTGGGATTACAGGCAAGAGCCACAGCACCTGGCCCTCATTCCCATTAAACATTATTCTGAAGGCTTTTGTTAGAAGAAATAAAAATGAAGAAGTAACTGTAGAAAAAGAGAACTTAAAGAACTGTACAGTTATCTTATTAGACATCAATTATTTTGGTAAATTTGCAGCATCAAATGTCAACATGCAAAGATCAGCTATATTTCTATATGTCATAATCAACTAATGAGAATGTTCACTTTTTAAAACATTACCTCTTTAAAAGGTTACCTTAATAATAGCATTAAACAATTAAATGCCTAGAAACACGTCTCTTACAATGTACGAAATATCAAGGCCAAAAGTACAAAATATTATTGGAGAAGTAGTGAAAAACTACATAAATGGAGACAGTCCATGTTTATTTTTTTGGCATGTGTATGTTCATTTGTTTCAGCACCGTTTATTAGAAAGACTATCTTTTCTCCATTGAATCATGAGCAAAGATGCCTACTTGGTCAAACATTGGTTCACTCTATTTGTGTGGTCTGTTTCCGAGTTCTCTGTTCTGTTTCACTGATCTGTTTGTGTATTTTTTTGCCTATACCATACTGTCTTGATTGCTGCAGCTTTATGATAAGTCTTGAATCACGTAGTGTCAGTCCTCTGATTTTGTTCCTCAGTACTAGGTGACATATTCTGGGCTTTTGCCTTTCCATATGAACTTTAGAATCAGTTTGTTGATTTTGATGGCAGAAAACAATTTGCCAAACTTTTTGTTGGGATTACTTTGAATCTGTAGATCAAGTTGGGAAGAACTGACATTGTAACAGTATTGAGTCTTCCTGTTCATGAACATAAAATATTTCTTCGTTTATTTACATCTTTTCTACTTCTTTCATCAGCATTTTATAGCTTTTCTAATGTAAACCTCATACATATTTTGTTAGAATTATACTCAAATATTTTATTTTTTGGTGCTAATGCAAATTGCATGATGTTTTAAATTTCAAGTTCCAGTTGTTCATTGCTGGCATATAGGAAAGCAGTTGACTTTTGTTTATTAACCTTTTATCCTGAAACCCTGTTATAATCACTTATTAGTTACCAGAGGGTTTTTGTGGTCAATTCTTTCAGATTTTCTACACATAGTTGTGCCATTGGTGAGCAAAGACAGCCTGGCTAACATGGAGAAACCCCATCTCTACTAAAAACACAAAAATTAACTGGTCATGGTGGCGCACACCTGTAATCCCAGCTACTCGGTAGGCTGAGGCAGAAAAATCGCTTGAAGCTGGGAGGTGGAGGCTGAATGAGCCGAGATCATGCCATTGCACTCCAGCTTGGGTGACAGAGGGAGATTCTGCCTCAAAAATAAACAAACAAAAAAAGCAATAACAAGAAACTCCTCATTCTGGACTGTGATTCTGTGTCTATGTGTGTGTTGCTATATTGTCTCTACTCCTTCTGAACCAGAAGGCAGGTTGTTGCTGAGAAGGTTAAGTTCCTCTTTGAGTAGGTAGTTCATTATACTTTTACATTTTCTGGCTCTTAAGTAGCCCAAATGGTATTTGACATTCTTCAGTGGCTGGCTGGTTAATTTTGTGGAACTAGAGTTTTCATACTCAGGGAAGTATTTCTCACCTTTATTAATTTTTCACTGGGAAAATAGTTTCTAAAAATTTACCATTGTCTTCAAATAGATACTTGATTTTCACTACATATTTCTGAGGCTTTTATTACAAAAAATTTCAAACAAATAGAAACTAGAATAGTATAATTAATCACATTTATAATGGACATATAGCTCCATGAAGTGCCAGTTCATGGCCAGGAAAGTTTTATCTATATCCCTCACTTTATTTTGAAGAAAATTCCAGATATCATATCATTTTGCTTTAGCTCACTTTTATTTACAAAGTGTCAATTAGATTTTTTGTTACAATTCTACTACAATAGGATTTTTACTAGTAAGGAAAATTGAACCAAAAGAGATATCAAACAATAATTAAAACAGACATGTAGTTCAAGAATGTTGCAACTCATTTAACCAATAGATGTGCCATTCTAGTAGTCTTCTTGGTTTATACATTTTCTCTTGTTCTCTATGTTCTGATAGGGAGAGTTTTCCAGGGAAAAACAAGAAACAAGGTGCAGAACAGTGTAAGAAAGTTTCAAGTAAACAAATAAACATTTTTGTCATTTCCTTGTTTATACAAAA